CAGTGCTGTTGTTGGGTGAAGTGTTCTGCACATGCCTATGAAGCCAAATTTGTTAATTTGACTTTTCTTTTCTACATCTTTGTTGAGATTATTTCTAGTTGTTCTATTTCCCTAAAATAGTGTAAAGCTTTTTTGCCTGCATGGTTTTTGTTACGAAATCAGAGGTTAGTCTTACCCATTCCTTTTTGTAAAGCTTTTCCCAAGCTACTATCAGGATGCTTTCCTGGTCTTTGGTTCTGAAAAGTTTGAACATGACATATCATGGTAATTTTCTTTGGGTTCTATCCTTCGGGAGGTTTGTTCACCTTGAATACATATTTTCTGATCTTGCATGATGTTGGGAAATTTTTCTTCCAATAAATCTTATGCAATTTTCTCTGTGCTTTTCGATATTTCTTCCTATTCTGGAATTCTGATCCCACATAAGTTGTTCCCCTTGGTTCTATCCTATAAAATTCCTAGTCTTCTGTCCTATAATTCTCTTCTTTTTTTTTGCTCTTTTTTAACTGTTTATTTAATTTTTCATTCATTTTTGTCAGTTTGTCTTTATAGTGTTTTTCTGGATTCTCCTGAAGATTTTTTTTCTGTTTTCCTTGGTTTCATCTATCTTTCTCTCAATCTGTTGAAATAATTTAATATAACTATTTAAAATTCCTTTACAGGTCATTCGAATGTCTTTTCCTCACAAGGAAAGTCTTCTGGATCTGCACATTTGTCACTTGTTTGAATCATTCTGCCCCTTTTCTTTATGTGAATGAAAATTTTCTATGGTTTCTCATGAGTTTTCAAGGTGGTATTGTATTTAATTGATCATTTTATGTTTGTGAGGCCTTAACCACTCACCACCTGCCTCTTGGTGAATGTACTGGAGATGTGAATGTGTGTTTAGTTCTTTGTCTGCTGTTTTCATTAGAGGGGAGTTTGTGCAGGTGTTTTTACTATCTCTAGATGATAAAGTAATATGGGAATAAGTAGTGGCCCATTTATATAGGTGTGGCTGTAAGTGTTACAGTTATACTTGGGCCATGTGGGCATAGCCACTGTGTGAAGTCAGGTGGAACATCAACAACAAAAAAGAGAGAAGAACAAAAACAATCAAGAAAATTAACAACAACAAAGACAGGGAAATTCAGACAACAAAAAGAGCAATAAAATTAATTCAATAACTAAAAAAATGTTTAGCAAGGATAGAGAAAAAAAGAATTACTCAATAAGCAAAACCAGTTGGAGAGAGGATGTTAAAATGAAAAAGAAAGGAGAATAGTGCAGGAAAATAACTAAAAAAATAAAAGGAAGTGGAAACAAGAAAAACAGTGAAGAAAAGGGGAACTAGAGAAAGCTAGGATTTAAAAACAAATGAACAAATAAAAGGTAGAGGGACGAAAAGAAAAACTGAGACAGGAGCAGGACCCAGAGAGGAGAAAACTATGGAGAGCTGTAGTGCCCAGTATAGCACCCTCTGCTAGACAAGGAACATCCTGTGTAGCCAAGTGGGGATGGAGAAATTTGTCTCTTTGCCTGACTCCTAGCTAGGGTTAGGACCTGATTGAAAGTAGTTCATGTAGTCTAAAACAGTGCTTGAGGTCAGAGGGTTTATTTCCTGAAAGGAATCTTTAGGGTCCACAGGTCAGCTGGGGCAAAGTGGTTCTTTATACAAGGAGCTCTTACCAGCCTAGAGCACTTCTTCAGCATGGCCTTCTCTGATTTCTCTTTGTGATTAACTCTCATTTCAAATCCGATCTCTTTTACTTACTTTAGATACCTGAAGCAGAGAACAATCCTTTCCTTGTTGGCATGCACTACTGGTACTCCAGCCACAGTAATCAGACCCAGCACTGCAATGTTTGTCGAGAGAGGATTCCTGCATTATCTAGAAATATTATCATCTGTGAAGGTACCTTTCTGACTCTTCTATGAAGAGTGGGTGGGGATAGGGATGAAGGGTCTCATTTGGCTTAATATCATTTGCTCTGTTATGTGGTTATACCTAACACTTAACAGAGGAAAGAATATGGGAGGAAACTTGTATGTGGGACAATTCTTTTTTTCTGTTGAAGTAAATACATTTTCGATACCCATTTTATAAAGTTCACTGAAATAATCTATAAATATAAAAGCATTTTTCCTTTGGATATCACCACGCTCCATGTAAATACTCAACAGTTGGATCATCTGCAGGAAGCGCTTCAAGCCACACTGTTGGTTTGCAACCTGAACATACAGCTTTCATACCACAGTGGCACTTATGTACTCAAGTGGCTTTGGAATATGACTATTGGGCATGTGGAGTAAAAAGCATATGTCAATTCAAATCAACAAAAGGGGTATTATGGAAGAAAGTAGAGAATTGGGAATGCTCATTCATTCAACATCGGATTCTAGGAATTTAATCAGTAGAAGTAAAAAGGAACTGGATTATATGGGGAAAAGATTTTTAGAATTGAATGAGAACGATTTAGAATGTATCAGATCAGCTTAGTTAAAATTAGAATAATCATTCTCACAAGACTCATACTTACATTTTTTTAACTCTCTCACAGTATGCAAAATCAGATCTCACAGATTATGTGCTTTGAGGGCAAGCAAAGACTGCAAGTGGAATACTTTGTCTCTGACTGATGATCTCCTGCTACCTGCAGATGAAATAGTGAGTACCAATTATACCTTTCCCTAGCCATCCTCTCCCATCTCCATTTAAGTGAAGATACACACAGAAAGGAAGCTATCTTCCTCTCTTAGGACACCCCCAAGTAGGTTTCTTCCCTAGATCCATAATTAATCTCAAAGAATGAAACTCACCACTCCCACTTATCATTAGCCGCTAGCATTGCTGGTGGAGGGGAAAATATCACGGAGAATTTCCTAGATGTCTTCATGGGGCTGTGGAAAGTACAATTATTAGTATTATCCTTTTCTCTCCTTAGCTCTCTAACTTCTACATCTTGTCGCTTTTTCTCTTTTAGAAAAGCATGCCACATCAATGGATAGAAGGGAACATGTCTGTCAGCTCTCAGTGTGCAGTGTGTCATGAGAACTGTGGCAGCTATCGAAGACTTCAAGATTTCCAGTGTCTGTGGTGCAATTCTATAGTAAGACTCATTCCAGTACTTAGATAACTTGACTTTGGGAATAGGGATGACTTGGATTTCACTGTTCATCCCCATAGATTGAGCACTCAGAGGTACCCTAGCCCAAAATATGTTATACTGATTCTCTCAGTATCTTGCCTTTCCAGATCTGGCTCTGGAGTCTTTGGGAAGACATTTTAAAACTCTCACTCTTTAATCATTCTTAATTGGTTCGACCTACTAGTAAATGGGAAAACGTTAACTTTCCCAAGGAAGCATAGACAATTATAAATAAGTTCTAAGTCTACCCCTAAGCTTTCTATTGTCCTCATTATCCATTTCCTAGAAACCTATAATCTGTATTAATTAATCATGATTAAAAATATTGGCACATTACTGTTGTTGCCATTATGTACATATGATCTCTTTTAATCCTTACAACAACCTTAAAAAGTAGGCCTCTCTGTTTATCAGTAAATGAAACCCAGGGACATTGAGCCTATAGCAAAAGCAAATAGAAAAGGGTTTCAGGGAAGGGGGGGGGGGGCGTAATAGTGGGATGGGAGAAATAAGAGGGAGATGATGTCAAGGAGCCCACCAAGGAAGGAAACGTATGTTTGGAGACCAGAAGTATGTTATGGAAGCAATTGTACAATTCTGTTTGATGTAATTGAAATATGAAATGATATGGCATATGTATTAACTCCCAAGTTACAGAAAATTAAAAGGAAAAAAAAAACATAGATCAAGGAATAGGGTTTGGGCTCACACTAAATCCTAGCTCCAACTTAAGAACAATTAGTTCTTACATATGGCCCTGCTTGATACTCACACTCAGGAAGCAAACACAGAAGATATGGGTGCTATAGCAAAATGTGGTGATGAATGTAGGTGCCTGGCTGTCAGATAAAATAACGTCTGGGGTCTTAAAGGCTTATTTCCAGACAAACAGCCATCTAAGAGAGATGTCAACTGGTTCCACATGGAAGAAGCACACCATCACCCGTCATCGAGGATTGGAATCCATATAATCCAAAGTCCAAGGAGGGATCAGTATCAGAGCCTAAATTCTGAGATTCTGGTGTGCACAGTGTGATGGATGACAGTGGGAGCTCAAGATCTATTAGTGGAGCTACATCGGAAATAAGTCTCCGGAGAACTCCCATATCTAAAATTGAGGGATGGGAGGAAAGTGGTCACTAAACAGAATGCTTGGAAGAGAGGAGTATAGACGATCAAAGGCATAAATGGGACGTGAACAGTTAAAATTGTGTCAGTAAGTCCCCCTGTGATGTAAGCTGCACTGGATCTGGTTTCCAAAACGTTCTGTATTTTTGGTTTGTATTGTTTTGTTTGGTTTTTGTTTGTTCATATGAGAGTGTGTTTCAAACGTGTGATGTCAATGGAAGTCACCCTCTTAAAGCTGTGTTATATGCTTTTCCATTTTTTCGGTCTCTGAAACCTAGGATTGATGAAACTATAGGGACAGCAAGTAGAATAAAGGGCTTGGGGGAGGGGGATACAGTGGAGATGGGGGAGTGTAAAAGGATGATGGTGTCAAGGAGTCGATGTAGAAAAAGATTATTTGGAAACTGTGGTAACAATTGTACAATTCCACTTGACATTATTGAAATATGGAATGATATGATATGTGGACTAAATCCCAACAAATAAAACATAGCCCTTATTGTTCCCATTTTCCAGATAATAAAAGTGAGGTTCTTGCAACCATTAATCAGGAGAGTCCTGATTCCTACATAATTCTTCAAAGACCATACTCTTAACTACAACACTGTGTCTATATAATGCTTTTCAGCTGGAGACTATTTCCCTCCGCCAAATATTTGGCAATGGTTGGATACGTTTGTTTGTTGTCCCAACTCAAGTTGGGAGTTGAACAGAGGTATGGCTAGAGAGAGACTTGGGGTGTTGCTATACCTCCTAAAATGTACAGACTAGACCTCAATAATGAAGAGCTATCCAACTCAAAATGTTCAAAGTGCTAAGTAAGTAATCACGATATATACTTTCTAAACTTTTAGATATTTCCCTTAAATGGATAGTTCCGGACAAAAAGGAACTGAAGTATGAGCTTTTTCTTAGAAGACTCTTGTTCTTCTTTGGCTCTGCTTTACTTACATTTGAATACCTGGATCAGTTTTGTATCCTCCAGGAGCTGTGTAATGGTTCTGGAAGTCACACTTGGAGATGTTCAAAATCTGGAAAGAATGACCACTTTGAGGAAAGCCAACAAAATCTCAGTTCTGTCATTTCCTAGTGGCTTGATCTTGGGCAAGATCCTCTCCTTCTTTGAGTTTTGGCACCCTTATTTCTAAAATAAGCCCCACCACACACAATTATTGTAAGGATTGAAATGTGGCAGCCTATTAGTAGTGGTGGCCTCATAAACGGCAAATAAGCACCTCATTTTGCAAGTCACAAAGATTAAGCCCTAGATTTAGTGGCTTCACAGTGCCTGCACATGGGTGTTTTCTGAAAGCCACCTTTGAAAGGACCAGAGTTCAGAGTTCACACTTAGGGACAGACCAGGTTTGGGGTTATGTCCAGGTGAGTTGAGGGTTTGTCTATGATACCAAACCTCAGAAAAAATATTTGAACACTGGGAACCCAAATCTTATGAGTGAGTTTCACGACTAACAAGTGTTCTTTTCTCTCCCCCTCCCTTTTTTATCTTCTCTTCTTTTGTTATTTCAGGTGCACGAACACTGCAAAATACGGTTTTCCCAGGAATGTTGGTTTGGACGTCATCGTTCATCAGTCATTCCTCCTACTGCCCTCAGTGACCCTAAGGGTGATGGTGTGTAGCTAGATCTTAATTTTAAGAACATGGTGGTGGGAGGGATGAAGGAACAAAACAAAGGAATAATAACTGTAATTAAATTATTATTTATTAGTCAAATATTTGTGGGGAATAGGAAATTATATGTATTTACAAGATCATGGTCCTCTTTAGACCTTTGGGATGTTTAACCTTTATGTGTGATGTATATGTATGTACATATGTTCTCTGTAACCTCTGTTCCAGTTGTTTCTGACTGATCAGAATTTATTTCAGCTCTATTAAAAAAATAATTTCCAGACACTATATATTGGGCTGCTCAGTGTACAGTCAGCAGTTGGAAACCACCAACCACTCTTTGGAAGAGAGATGGGGCTTTCTACTCCTGTAAAGAGTTACAATTTCAGAAACTGACAGGGGAAGTTCTACCTACCCCGTCCTAAAAGGTTGCTATGAGTCAGCATCGACTCCATGACAGTGAGTTTTGAGAAGGAATCCATGAACTAAGTTTGTGCCTGAGTGGTCATGGCAGAATTACGTGAACAGGCCAAGTTATATTACTTATAAAATCGAAACTAATACAAAGTTTGTCTCCAGATATGAACCTAACATGATCATTGCAACAACATACTAAATGAATGTTTTGTCAGTTCCTGGACACCAATGATTTTTTGATCACATTTTATTCACAATGTACTTGACAGTCATAAAAAGACCTAAGACATGAGCATTGCCAGTGATCATGGTTATGTTAGGTCCAGGATATTGATATAATATGACAATTAACAATTAAAGGTAGCATATGCTTCATGCTTCAAGCAGTAGTAGAGACACTTGGAGACCAAAAAATGTCATGAGTGTTAGGCAATTGTAGGAGATTGAGCCGAAAGGAGGTAATGATGGAATAAATTCAACAAGAGCAAATATTGTATAGCTCCTTCTATCAAGAACTATAGTAATGTTAGAACAGAGAAAACAGGGGCAAAGGATAGGGGTGTTTTGTTTATTATTTGTGTTTGGTTTTCTAAAATATATGTTATATGGAGCCACTATGATGCAAGATTTTTAAAAAAGGGCAGGGGGATAGGCAGGCAACCATGGGTTTTAGTCACTTGCTCGCTAGATGACCTTGGATAAGTCATTTATGTTCTCTAAGCTCCACTTTTATGATCCACAAAAGGGAATATTGTGAGGATAATGGGTAATATGTGAAGGATGCAAATATGCAAAACACAAACCCAAAGGACAAAATCCCTAGTATTGAACAACACAATTCCTGGCCTTCTATCCTAATGAAAATGGTAATTACCGTAAGTGACAATTCTGCAGTTACGTTCTTTGGCACTTGTTAGATTCCCCTCTCTTTTTTCACTTTTTCTTTTCTTCTGACTCTCCTTTCATGAAGCTATTCACTTGTTTCTCCTCTTCCATTACTCGTTATTAAAGCGTAGGAGCAGTTAACATCAAAATGATATGTCATAGATAAAAAGACCTGTCCTATTGTTCTAACATACTAAGAAATTTAGAAATCTAACATATGTAACATATTGCTGTTTCATAAAGACAGAGAAGAGATGCACTGTCCATTAATTTAAGTTTGTGCATGGTGGCTTCTCTCTCTAATTGTCCACTTTCACTTTATGGACTTTGACTCCTTTCTGAAATATTTGTAATTCTTTGCACAGCAATAATTTTTAAGTCAATGAAATATTACTTCAGTGATCATTCCTACACCAGTGGATCCAGAGATGGACAAATTAGCTTATCATAGAAATTTGTTAAATCTCTTACCTTAATATTCTTGGTACTAATAAAATAGGAAAGATGGTGTTGTCTGTCTTCCATCCTAGACTTCATCCTTAGCACTTACTTTAACACCTCTCTGTATTCATAGCACTCAGTTCTGTTCTGGGTACTTGGTATGTGTGCAGTCTAGATTTGTTGCGTGAATTCATGTCCCATAAATTCATTCACTGGCTGCTGTCTATAAGTAAGGCTCAATGCTGAGCAATCTAAAGAATAAGAAATAAGTTTCTTGATTCACATGGAGGCACAAAAGTACTAGTGAATTAGTTAGTTATCAAACTTGAGTTGTATATCAGAGTCACCATTAAAGCTTGTTAAAACAAGATTCCTGTGGCCTTCTCTGGCCCTAGAGCTTGTGATTCAGAAGAGAGGGAATATTACCCCCCAATTTATAGAAAGTCCTCAGAGGACACTGATGTTGCTAGTTTGGGAATGCATGCCATTATCTTCTGTGTTACCTTGGGCAAGTTATTTTACTTCTCTGTGCCATATTGTATTAGTCTGGGTACTTTGGAGAAACAAATCCACAGCGACTCATGGATAAGAGAGAGTTTTATGTAAAGAAAATGTGCATCACGAAAACATCCCAACCCAATGCTGCCCAAGCCCACAAGTCCAACATTAACCCATTAACCCAACACCGGTCCACAAAGTCCTCCACCTCACAAAACAGAGGCAATGATGCCGACTGCAGGAGGAAAGCTGAGTCAGTGAACGTGTAAGCATCTCAGCACTGGCAAGGATCTCCACACGGCTGCTCCAGCACCCAGGGCTGCATCGGGATAGGTCCATGTGGCTTCTCCTTGGGGATGTCTTGTAAGAAGTCAATCTTGCAAGCTGAAGCAGGAAACTGCTAAGGCAGCTGCACCCGGTGCGACCATCACAAAGCAAGAGACCCGAGAAACTAGAAAGGCGAGGCTCACCACCCATTTATCCCTCCGCCTTTCAATTAGCCCCGCATGTGATTATCGGCCAGGTTGGCACAATTAGCTAACTCACATATATTTCTCCAATAAGAAATACTGGAAAATAAAATAATTGGTTCTGAGGCCCAAAAAGTACACTTATAAACTCATTTTTCCAGGGCTTTCAATCACTATGGAGGCTTTTAGCCTTCTTGCATGTCACTGTCTCGAATACGCTATCCCCATCGAGTTGTTTCTGATTTATCCAAATTAACAGTAACTTTTCAACTTCTTCGATGGTCTGGTTCTCTGTTTCGTGGCTAATGATATCACATTTGCTACATTCACCCCTTTAATCACACTGAATAATGTCAACTTGGCCGTTTTGCATTCAGCTGCCAAATCAGACACGTGGCAACCGGATTGAAACTTAGCAGTGGATTCCTTCTTTACCTCTGCGTGGTTCTCACAGTTTTCCTCTTAGCTTCTCTGCTGGTATCACGGACTCTCTTTAGAGCCATCATTATGATGGCTCCAACTTTTCAGTGTCCAAGCCCGAAATTTGAAATAAATTGAGTTCTGACAACCAAGGTATCATGGTACTAATGCTGCGCAAAGAAGCATGTTTTGTTTTGTTTTTATCTCTTTCAAGCTGTTGACTCATGTGGAGTTTAAATTCAATTGAATCCCCTAAGTCCTTTTCACACTTGATGCTGCCAAGCCATCTACCTATTGTTCTGTTCTCTTGCAATTGATACCCTTGGGGGTAAAGGCCAAGCTTCACATGTTTTCTTTTTACTTGTTGTCTTATCGACCTATTGGCCTATTGAGGAAATTTTTCTGTCTTGATTATATCTTCCAGTAACTCTCCTTCTAGCTTTGGGTATATAAAAGTTGACAAGTAGCATTCTATGTCTTCTTCTGATTTTTTTTTATTAAAATGGTTGGACAGTAGTAGAAGACCCTCCCCTCTTATGAACATCAACCAGTCTATTTCAAAACAAAGGACCTCTGGTAGTGTAGTGTAGTATACATTGAGTTGCTAACAACAGGGTCAGAGGTTTAAACTTACTATCTACTCTACTGCAAAAAGAGAAGCTTTTGCTCCCATAAAGATTATAGCCTCAGAGGCCACAGGGGCAGTTCTATTCTCGCTTATAGGTTGGCTACGAGTTTGAATCAACTCGATGACAGTGAGTGAGTAAAACATGATCTTGTGTTTTCAGTTACCTACCCGCTCTTTGATTCTGCCTTACAGTGTGACATTCTAGTCCACAATGCAACCCACTTTTTTCACCTTCCTCACAAGACCCCTTTGACAAACTTGGCCTTGCTCAAATGAAGATGTGCTCTGACAATGAAGGACATGCGAGATGGGGCTGCTCCTGTGTTCTGTCAGCCCTGCGACCAATTTAGGCTCGATGCTGAAGACTGTGTTGTCTTAATTACACAATGTTCTCTTTATCTGGCAACTTCCTATCCCCAGACTAGATTATTTTTATTATCAATTACAGAATGGTACTATCATAGATATAGCACAATGAGCATCCAGATAACTCAAGATGTTTGCTGTAGGTTAGTGAGTAAACCTGGAAGAGAGCCAGCTGCAGCCCACAGCTGCATCGTCTTATAGAAGTGCAATGCAGAAGGCAGCCCCTACTTCAAGCTGTCAGATCTAAAACTGATTTCAGCTGCACACGGATGGCTATGCAACTTATAGACAGCATTAAAATGTGTCTTATTATTTTTTTACTAGTGATTATATCCATTTGGTTCAAATTTTTCTAATTAAATATATAAACACAATATTCAGTGAAAATCATTGCTCTACTCCTTCTCTGACCCACTCTGACAACTGCACCTCACCCCCACTCAGAAATAATTACTGCCAATAATTTCCTGAATGTCCTTCCAGTACTCCTTTCTTTTTTTCCCCTTTTTTATAAGTCATTTTATTGGGAGCACGTATAGATATCATAACATTCCATAATTCAATTAGATCAATCATAATTGTACAGTTGCTACCACAACAGTTTAAAATTTTTTTCTTTCTTCTTGAACTCTTTGATATCAACCCCCCTCTACTCCCTCCCTCCCCCACTCTACCCACAAGGAACCCTTATTATCATTATTTATATTATTGTTATTATTTATTTTCCCATATCTTACCCCATCCAATATATCCATTCGCCTACAATTCATTATTTGCTCCCCATTCTTGCTATCAGCCCCCCCCCACCTTCCCATATCCTCAGGGAATCCTTACTCCCATTATTGTTTCTGAAGGTTTATCTATCTTGGCTTTCATGCACTGAACCATCTTAACTATAAAAATGAACATATGCAGGTCTAACAAGATTAATGAGGTAAAAACAAAGACTGTAATAGTAAGGGGAGGAAATATTAAAGAACTAGAGGATAGTTATGTGTTTCAACGGTGCTATACCGCACCCTGGATTTATCATCCCTTTTGTGTAGCCCAAGTATCTTACAGGTTAGTTTTGGGTCTCCACTTTTTAAATGCTCCTTCTCATCAATTTGATTGCTTGTTTTGAACTTCTGATACCTATTCCCATTGACACCTGAGGATCACACAGTCTGGTGTGCTTTTTCAATGTGGCTTTGTTGCTTTCCTATTAGATGGCTGCTTGTTTAACTACCAGCCTTCAAGACCCCAGATGCTATATCTTATAATAAATGTCAGCCTATATTCTTATCACTCCTTTTAACACTATGCACGTTCTCCAATATATAGGTATGTGTGTTTCGCCTTCCCAGTATATTTTGGAAACATTTCCATACAAAAAAAGAGCATCTTCAATCATTTTTTAAAGTTGCAAGTTATCCAATTATGTGGCCATACCATAGATTATTAAACCAATCCCCTACGAATGAATAATTTGGTAGCTTCAGTCTTTTTAAAATAAACAATATTCAATGGACAATTTCACACATAGCATTTTACATATATTATCTATAGGGAAATTTTGCAGGAGTGGATTACTGAGTCAAACTACATTTACCTTTATAGTTTTCATAGATACTGTCAAGCTGCCCTCTACAGGACTAATGTTATTTTGCATCTCCATACTCAGTGTAGGAAAGTGCATTTCCCCCCTTTCCTTCCTGAATCAAATCTAGTGTTTGGATTTTGCCAATCTGCTACCCAAGGTGGAAAAAAGGAGTTAGTTTTAAATTGTATATTTCTTAGTATAAGTTTGAACATCTTTAAGAATTAATTTATATTTTAATTTCTCATCAGCATAACTCCCATATCTTAAAGCTTCCTTTTCATCTAAACACTGAGAAACAGGTTAATTTTGTGATTCACTCACTTTGCATATACGGAAAATGAGGCCCAAACCCAGTAGTAGTTGACCTCACAAGGGACCCCTCCAAATGATCTGTAACTCTAATCACTGGGGCATGAACAGATCTGTTCCTGGTCCCTTTCACCTAGGGTACAATAAATGGGACATTGCAATCCACCTTCCTTCCATACTTAGGAGTGACATATTTGTTTTTGTCCCAAGCATTTACTTTGAGTGGGGCAGCCCTAGAAAGTCATGAGCTCAGAGGCGTGGGACCTTGGAACATTGCTCACTGCTCATCTCCTTGCCAACTGACTCATCTGTGAGCTGGCTTGCTTTGACGATTTTGACTGCTATAATACCACTTTTCAAGGGATTATTAACAGCCTCTCTTTTGTTAAGACAATTTCTTTGTATTCTTTTTCCCCTTGAAAGTTAGTGTGATAATACTGATTGCTCCGCCAGAGTCATAGAGAAATGATTAAAGCTCCCTGCTTCACCCCACATTATTAAGCTCTACCATTAGCTCCCAGTTAAATGGAAGCCTTTCTTCCCACTCTCTTCCACCAACTCCTGACCTGGTATCTTCTCATTGTTAGAACTAATCTATCCAATGCAAAGAGAGGACTAGTGTGTCAATCCTCCTCTTGAGCTCCCAAAGTCTCCTTCCTCAATTTTTGCAAACATTTTTTACATATCCTTAGTTGCGGCACCAGTTATCTTATTCCTTTTGTTCCAACATTGTCTTATCTGTTTTTCCAGATTGAGGACAGAATCTATACCCCCAACACGATGCTTGGAAAATACAGTTTATCTGGCAACAGCTGAGAGAAAACATTTTTTTTAAATACATCATTTTATTGGGGGCTCTTTTGAAGGAAAACTTTTAAACCACTTGAGGTTGTGTCCTGAGTGTTCCTTTTCTCCTTAGCCTCAGAAAACTAAGAAAGATACTCAAAAAATCCTTTAAAATGTTGATGCTAAGTCATATCTTGTTTGTATCTCAATGGTCCTGTTCTTTTGTCTTTTCTTCTTCTGTGTGTGTGTATATATTAGGTCAATTAGTGGTTTCTTCAGACTTTTGGAACCTTGATTGGTCATCAGCCTGTTCATGTCCTCTACTTATCTTCATCAACTCCAAGAGTGGAGATCATCAAGGAATCGTTTTTCTCAGAAAATTCAAGCAGTACCTAAACCCATCTCAAGTGTTTGACTTGACAAAGAGTGGACCTGAAGTAGGGTAAGCATGGAGTAGCAGATAGAGTTGAGCATATGTGCATTCTAGACTAAGGTAAGCTTCATGGAGTTAGTCCTGGTAAGGAAAGAGCTGTTTTTTTCAAGTCTGAACATGCATGACCTCCAAAACATTTGATGTTGACTGGTTTAGGATTTTTAGCCTTTTACCAAAGATCTATAAAATCTCACCTTCTGCTTTCAAATTTGTTTCTTTTTTCTGGTTAGTAGAGGTAAAATCCTATTCCCTCACAACAAAGAAAGAAGCAAATGTATGTTGCCTATCTCCTGGCTACCATTTCTGCTACTTGCTCTTTCTTTTTCCTGGGGCCAAATAGCTATCTCTCTAGTGAAGATTTGCTTTATTTTGGGACAATCTCTATCTGACTGGCTCCTAGAAAGCTGAGTTTTTATGGATTACTGGAAGCATCCAGAGCAAGATCGGGTGTAGCATAGTAGGAATTACAGGAACGTCTAATTTCTGGAATTGCCTGTTAGAACATATTCTATACTCGTAGATCCATAGAGAAATGGGGGGAGTGGGGTAAGGGAAAGAATGTCGTTAGCCTCTTAGCATAGAGTCAATGCAGCAGCATTTGCCTCCTGACACATTGTAGGAAAGAGTCATCAAACCCAGCAAGCAGCTCATGTAATGGCCCCCTTCCCCGCTTTTCTTCGCAGGCTTAATATGTTCAAGAACTTTGCTCGCTTTCGAATTGTAGTTTGTGGTGGAGATGGCACTGTGAGCTGGGTCTTATCTCTGATTGATGTCTTTGGATTGCATGAAAAGGTAAGTTCCTGAATGAGTTAATGTATCCATTACTAGAAAGATTGAAAGTGTGAGACTACTTTTCCAAAGAGGAGCACTTTCCTATGCTGTAAATGCAGTCCTTGGTGTATACTCTTCTAATCTGTAAATGTATGTCCCATTCCCTCTACTCTTCATAGTGAACTTGACTGGTAGATTTCCAATCTAAACCTACTCGCTTAGACCATTTTCTGGTTGTCTATCTGTGGAAAGGATAAATCATGGAGTTAGAAGAAGGGATGAGTAGTGCTCTGTGTCTCAGGCCCCAAAGTGAAGTGTTGAATGGAAGGAGAGCAAGCAAAAAGGAAATTGCCTCAAGGAACACTTCACTTCCGAGTTTCTTCCCATCCTGAGACCACTGGTTTCCCCATTCACCCCCACCCCCAAGTATGAAAAGTAGCAGAATTTTTTCTCTACATCTACTTTGGCAACCTCCTGCTCTTCTGACTCTAGGAGCATTGTCTCCTGAGGCAGAATTTCTCCTTGGATTATCCTAGATAGAAAAGTGTCACTATAATTCTCTTCCATATGAAGAATATTAGTATATGAAATATTTGGTATATGCTAGTAACTTTTCACTTTACTAAATAGTTCTGTATTGCTAAGAAAGGGTCTCTACTCCTTAGGGAAAATTTCACTTAATTTCAAACATCCTCCCATTACACTTCCTGAAATCAGAGGTACCTAATCACCACTGGATTTGAGACCACAGTCTTTCCCAAAGAACACTGCCTGGCCTCTTTTATGGGGGATAGTTTGGTAAAGGGACTGCCTGAATAGGATACCTGGTTTTGTCATTTCAGTGTCAGCTTGCAGTCATCCCACTCGGAACTGGAAATGATGTGGCCCGTGTCCTGGGCTGGGGTGCATATTGGAAAAAGAAGAAGTCACCCCTGACTATCCTCAAAAGGGTGGAGCAAGCTAGCGTGAGGATTCTAGACAGGTAAGTAGCCAAAAGACCTAGCCCCTAGGTTTCTTTCAGTTATGCTCGGTTCCATCATCTTATTCTGAAATATTTTAGCCTCTCTCATAGAGCTTCATATCCTTTCTGGTTATGCCAATACAGTGTTTTGAGGTGCCTTGTCTTTTGGGAAACCAGAGGTTATCATGTAACCTTCAAACATCACTGAAATTCCTCTTCCGACATAAAAATTTCTAAAGGAGAGGCTCTGTGGACAGATTTCAAGAGTTGTATAAACTCTTTCAATTATGATACCAATTATGTGGCAAGCATCAACCCTGGTTTCATCAGGTTCTGAAGAAACTAAAAACAGAGGGGTGAGGGCTTCAGAAACGATTGGCCAAGATCAGAGGTTGGCAAATTGTGGCATTCAAACCATATGAAGCCATATGTGACCAGCTAACATCCTGATAATAAAGACTTTCTATGCTGGAACACTTGTTAGTATTTGATTTATAGTTGCTTATCAGTATCTGTAAAGGGGCTTTTACAAGATACCATGCTGGGTTCAGTCACAAAGCATCTTATTCAGTATGTCCTGGGTAGAGCCCTGATATGTGTATTTTATAATAGAACTTCAGGAGATCTTGATCACTACCTCTGGTTGAGAATTAATATTTTCTAAGAAGGTTATTATTTCTTCCTTAATCCTGGACTGTAGAAGGCATGAGTCTGGGGCCCTTCTTGTGGCACACCTGGAGATCAGGTGTCCAGAGACTGCATAGACATGCCCTGCAACCTGCTTCTTCCCACCACACAAACATTTTTGGCTTCTGTATTGACCTGTGAAACAATTGTTCTAGCTTTGATAAAAGTTCCTAAATACTTATCCTTGAACTTTATTTCAGATGGAGTGTAATGATCCGTGAGAATCCGAGGCAAATCCCATTGCCAAAAGGACAAGTTGCAATGGATGTAAACCAGTTTGAGGTAGTTACTTCACAGCTGTAATTTAGGAGAATCACTTAATTATATAATGTAATAAGTAGCAAGGTCTAGAGAGAAGATTTTATATAATCTAAGAGTTCCATGAGGACAAAATCATTGAGGATCAAAGACCTGTTATTCAGTAGCTATTGCCTATTAACTAGTAACACTGTGGAATAAATATTAGACTGCTAATTGCAGGATCAGGTTCATACTTACCAGCCTCTCTAAGGAAGAAAGACGAGGCTGTCTGCTACTGTAAATATTTACAGTCTCAGAAATCCCAAATAGGGTCATTATGAGCCGGAATGAATTCTGTAGCAGTGGGTTTTGGGAAGTTGGTATTTGATACAAGGGGGAAAATTTATGAAAAATTATTTTTTTAAAACTTTTTAAAGATAACCAAACACCTTGTGGAATGAGTTGCTGAGCCTAGGGGCTCGAGAACGTGGTCTCAGAAGGGACACTAAGGTCAACTGGCCTAATATAGTCCACAAAAACAATGTAATATATTCTAAGGTGATGAATGACAACTGGGGTCTTAAAGCTTATAAGGGACCACCTAAGGTGCGACGATTAGTCACTCCCCACCTGAAGAGTCAAGAAAATCAAAGATGCAAGGAAAGGGTGTTCCAATAGAATAATGAACAACAGTAACCCGAGCGCACAACTAGAGCATGCCTGACAATAGAACCAGCACTGCTGAAAGGGATCACCATACAAGGCCCTTGAGAGAGTGGGAGAAAAATGTAGAACAAAACTCAAAATCATTCAAAAGGCCAGACTCACTGGTCTGATAAAAACTGGTGGAACCCCCAAAACTATGCCCCTGATTTACCCTTCAGGTCTAAAACTTAACCCACTTCTTGTGTTGTGCTGGATTGAGAAACAAATCCAGTGACATTAATATATGTGTAAGAAAGGAAGTAATTCTATGTTCTTGATATCATCCTACAATTCATTTGGTCTTTGGTCATTAGTGCTCAATGTATCAAATCTGTTCTTGACATAATTTCTAAAGTCAAGTGGATTATGCTCTATGGTTAGTCCTGTTTGGGCTTTATTTAACTTGTTTTAACTTTCTCCAGTCTCAACTTGAACTGCATATGAGTGATTGATGATCTGTTCCGCTGGCCTTGTTTTGGCTGCTAATACTGAGTTTCTCCATCATCTCCTCCCAGAAATGTAGTCATCTTGATTTTTGTGTATTCCATTGACAAGGTTCATAGGTATTGTAGTCTATATTGTTGAAATAAAGTATTTGCAAATAAAAAAGAAGTAATTCTCTATTAAGAAGACATCCCAGCCCTGTCCAACTCAAGTCCACAAGTCTGATGCTAGAGGGAGCCCTCTTCAGACTCATGTAGCTGCAGGCAGATGATGCAGAAAGATGACGCCGGATGTAGGAGGCTCACAGGCCAGTCAGTGTGGTCTTGTGTAGATCCAAAGCCAGTAGGAACATGGCAGTTGCCAACAGTTCTCAGAGTTAGGTGGCCTACATGGGCCTGGAGACAGGCAGGAAAGTGACATGGCAGTGAGACTTCAACACTCCTTGTTCGCTCTCTCTTACCCAAAAACTGGCTTATGGCATCAAGAAGGTGTCACCAGGCTGTGACACAATTGATAGATTCAGCTCCACCTCTACCCTAACCCAGGAGTGTCTAGTTGACACAATCCCCAACCATCACATTTCCTTTGCTGAACTTTCAATCAAAAATAGACAGGTCAGTCTATAACGTGAACAATAACACCAGGAAGGTACTTACTCATTAGAACAATCAAACATACCAGTTAAAAAGCATACCATTTGCCCAGCAATAAATCTCAGAAAACAGGAAACGATAGGAAAGGAAAAAGAGAAATGTTAAGTACAGGAAGAAAGCAAGACATATTGTGAGGTTTGCAACCAATGTCATAAAACAAAACATGTATCAATTATTGAATAAAAAAATCCATTTGCTCAGTAAGTTTTCACTCAAACCACAATTTAAAAAAATTACTGTTTTAGACATTTAGAATATAATTCATTCATTCATTCACTCAGAAATATTAGTGGAGCAACTAGAAGGTGAGAGATTTTGTTCTAGAAACTGTTCTTATGTCTTAGTAGTTAAAAATAATGACACACTTCCCGCTATTATAGAGCTCATGTTATAGTTGGGGGGCTTAAAAAAACAGTTTTTATAAAGTAATAAGAGTGCTAGGATATGAGGAAGTAGAGAGACTGGGAACACACAGTCTGAGTGGAATTAGAAAACAACTTCTCAGAAGAAGTGCCATTTCAGAAGCTCTGAGGACTGGAGAGAATTAACCAGGAGAATAAGAAGAGGCTTGTTCCAGGCAGTTGGAACAGCAAGTATAGCTTCGACGGTAAGGACAATGGAATACTCACCGAACTGAAATATGTTCATAATGGCTGGAAATCAGGACAAGGGAAGGAGCACGTAGGGTGAGTGACTAAAGAGAAAGCTGGAGATAAAGCTGGCCAGGCCAGGAAGACATGCTAAACTGTGGTAGGAAATTTGGACGTTTACCCTAAAGGACAATAGTAATTACAAAGGGATTTTCGTATGTTACTTAATTATGAAATTTCTGAAACAGAGGGAAATTGAATTTGTAGGTTCTCCCATTAACATGTCACTGTGATTGCTTTCATGGCTATCTCTTTATCTATCTAATGGCGTTTTAAGCAGATGATTGCATGATACGCAGAGAAGAAAGAAGAAAGACTTGAGGCAAAGAACACAGGTGTAACAGATACTGTCCTAGTCTGGGAAAGAGAGCATGCTGCTTTGACTGGAGTAGCCGGAAGGAAAAGAACTAGACTTGTCTGAAGCATTGCAGAAGCAAAACCATCAGGACTTGGCAGACTATTGAATATAAGGGGTGGTAGAAAGGGAAGAGCAAAAGTTATAAAGAACGAAAAGATAGTTCAGAGCATAGACTCCAGAGCCAGGCTGCCTGGAATCAAATTCAGTTTCTGTTATTTATCAGCTATCACTTTTAAAATAATTTTTATAATTTTACTTTTTTATAATTCAGTTTCTGCCTCTATAAATGAGCAATAATAACATTCCGGGAACCCAAGAGGCAAGCGAATTTTGGGAATGATGAGGGCAACAAATGTATAGATGTGCTCTACACAATTGATCTATGTATTGTGATGAATTGTATGAGCCCCAATAAATTGATTTTTTAAAAAAACAAAAAAAAATACTTTACAAGTTCATAGTCTGGATTGCTTACAGTGATATTAAAAGCCTATTTAAAAAAAATAACAATCCTTTTGGAGTATTGTTAACAAATCTTTGAAAAAAGTTTTATTGGCCTATAATTCAAGTATCATACAATTCAATTATTTGAATATATTAAAACGAGTTGTGCAACCATCACCACAATCAATTGTAGAACTTTTTTCCTCATTTTTTTGTGCTCATTGTTATTAGCTTCTCCCTTCCTCCCAACCTCCTATCATAATGCTAAGAAACTATCAATATAGTTAATATCTCCATAGACTTGCTTATCTTGGATTTCATGTAAAGAAAATCATACAAAAAAAACCCCAGTGACAGTAAAACAATAAAACACCGAAAAGCCTCAATTCAAAATAAAGCAGAAAATAATAAAAGCCAAAACAAATTGAGAATGGTCTGCAAGGGAGAAACAAATTATAAGATGATAAATTTTTACCTAATTATGGTTGCATTAATTCACTATCTGATGCACTCTGTCTGAGGACAAGAGTTTTCACATACTTGATCAATGGTCCAAGGGAATTTAATGGGTGCATTTCTAGTGTGTGCTTATATATACATATTTTCAAGCATGTTCTGCCATACAACCATGTGCATGCATGTTTGGTGTACATTTGTGTTTAGCTTGGTGTCTGTTTAAGTTCTTGGCACATGTGTATGCCCGCATAGTGCCACTCTTCATTTGGATAAAGATGAAATTAGGTTGGACGAGTGGGAGGAAAAGCTAGGCATCTGTAAGTACATTTACCCTTGCCTCTTCTTCTCTGCCTTACTCCAATCATTTTGCATCCAACTTTTTCTTTCTGTATGTTTTCCTCCTGACTGTTGGAGAAGGATTCACTCTCTGTGTGATCAGTCAGCCATCTTGAACCCGAATCGCCACATTATCTTTCAACAAAACGTTTTGAAGCCCTTTGTGTATGTATCTTGACATGTAAAAACTCAAACCAAACTTACTACCATTGAGTCAATTCTCACTCATAGTGACCCTGTAGGACAGAATAGAACTAACCCTGTGAGTTTCCAAGACTGTAACTCTTTACTAGAGTAAGAAGCTCTATCTGTCACCCAGTGAGCAACTGTGGCTTCAAATTGATGGTCTTGTGGTTCGTAGCCTAACATGTAACCCGCTGAGCCACTAGGGCTCCTTCTTGGCATGTAGGAAGTACTATATGTACATGCTGTTATTATTACTGATATAATTAAAAAGTAACACCCTGGCACTGGAAAGAAATGAGTTCAAATCCCAACTCTTATTATTTACTAGTTAAGTAATATGGAACTAATTTAATTTCAAACAGAGCAAATAGTATTTCCTTTATAGTAATTTTTATTATTAATTAAAATAAGAAGAAACAAAGTTCAAAACCACCAGCTCTTCCAGGAAGAAAGACAGAGCTTCTACTTCCATAAAGGGTTAGTCTGGGAAACTCCCAAGGGCAGTTCTATTCTGTCCCATAGGGTCACTATGAGTTGGCATTGACTCGATGGCAGTGAGTTTTGTTTTGCTTTTAATGATCCAAATCCAAGAATATCTATGGCTATTTTTCCATCTATGAGAAAAATTTGATGGTAATTATCTCCAGAGAAACAGTTAAATTTTTGGTAGAGTCAGTAGGAAATAATGAAGCTGTGGAAGATAAGAATGACAGCCTACTATGCCATGGCGCTGAGATTCCAAGGCTGAGCACTCCTTTTCTCCCTAGGCTGCTGCCATTCAACACTTAGAATCTGCAACTACTGAGCTGAACAAAATCCTGAAGTCCAAGTGTCCCACAGAGACGATCATTGCAACCAGGTTAGTCTTTCTTTGCCTCACAACTTTTGGGATATATTTGTTCCTCATTAGCTGGGGCATAGTTTGATGGCTTGGGGTGTTGAGTTCAAGGAGTATATGCTTACCTTCCTAAATTTAAGTTCTCCTAAGCTCACTAAATGAAACGTTTAGGAAAGAAATACAATATTGAAATGAGAAAACCTACTACATCGAAAAGACAAAATTGCAGGCTAGAAATTTGGAAGAATTGCAAAAGGAAAGCACAACATTCGAGAACATTCTAGAATATAGTTTCCTACAGTAGAGATATTTTGCTTCCATTTTTGCCACCAAGAAAGGTCTCTGTAATAGCTATCTGCAGCTAATTTATCATAGCAGCATATTCTCTCCATGTGAGTATGAGTATGTGAGTCATTCCTTTCTCCTGACACCCTTTGTAGTCCACCACATTCTCCTGAGAGAATGTATGAAATTAGCTGGGCCCTTAAATCCTAGCTGATTTGACCCAGGAGTAAAATCGGACTTAAGTTGCTATTGGTGTTTTTGTTGTTAGTTGGCATCAAGTGAATCCTAACCCATAGTGACCACAATGTGCAGAGTCCACTACTCTGTAGGGTTTCAAGACAAGCTTCTTGATCTGCTTCTGAAAAGCAAATCCCTAGGCCTGTCTTCAGAAGCACATCTGGGTGGGTTTAAACCATCATATTTTTGCGTAGTAGTTGAGCTCTCAACCATTTAAGTTACCTAGAGAATCTCGGGAAATTTGGAATTAGGATTAAACAAATGCTCATTAACACATTTAGATATTTGATGTAGGAGTGATATGAAACTGGATGGAAGCAGAGATGTGTAGATGAACAAGCTGAAAAATAGGGATAGAGATATATGAAGAAATAGAGACAGTAAAAAGGAGAAAAGGACAGAAGATGAATTAATAACATGAGATAAATGGCTCTGGACCTTGTGGTCCATGCTATATTATACCATCTGTCTTATCTTTACAGATTCCTGTGCTCAGCTGTGGAAGATTTTGTAGTTGATTTTGTGAAGGCCTGGAGTCAAATAAAACAGAACAATACAGCAATAGAGTCTGTAATATTGAAAGTAAGTTTTCATTTCCTTTATCTATATTCTTCCTTCATCTTCTTTCTAATAGAACCAAATGTGCTTCCCATGAGAATTTTAAAAGAAAAGTGAGGAAGATTAGTGAAAAGTCTCCTTGATGGGGAAGGCCTAACCTCATCAAAATTCCATCTTTCTATAAATGAAGAATGGAACTATGCAAGCATACACGAACCTTAACAGACACCATGCACACAGCTAGACATTGCATTGACATGGTTGTATGCCAGACATGCTTGTACATGTTGTATGTAAGTATACATATAAGCACACACTAGAAATATACCCATATTCACCTAAATAACAGCAATAGCAACAAGACCCACATCCAAACCTAAATCTATTGCCATTGAGTTAGTTTCAAAACATAGCGACCCTATTGTAGAGATAGTAAATTTTTATGGGAACAGATAGCCTCATCTTTCTCTAACAGAGTGGCTGGTGGGTTTGAACCATTGTCCAATGCTTACCTCACAGTGCCACTATAGCTAACCCTATTGAGGTAAGTAAAAAAATTATTGCTACTAGTACTGATGAAACACATAATTATCCTCTAGTTCTTTACTATTTCCTCACCTTACTAATATGGTCTTTGTTTTACCTCATTCATCTTGTTAGACCTGAATATGTTCATTTGTATAATTTAGAGTGTTCTATGTATGAAAACCAAGATAGATACTACATCAGAAACAGTAACCAGAGTAATGATTCCCTAAGGGAAGGGGGAGTTGACAGCTATGATAACTGTATAACCCCACTCAAGGGGAATGAATAACAGAATTGTAGGTGAATGAATATATTGGATGGTGTAAGATATGGAAAATAATAATAACATAGCATATAATAACCGGGGTTCCTGGGGGATAGGGTGGGGGAGGGAGAGCATAAAGGGGAGCTGGTATCCAAAAGTTCAAGAAGAAAGAAAATGTTTTGAAACTGATGGTGGTAGCAATTGTAAAACTATGTTTGATCTAACCGAATTATAGATTGCTATACTATCTGTAAGAGCGTGCAATAAAATGATTAATTTTTTTAAAAAGATACTGCTACTAGAGTTCCAGTTCATACATGCACAAGTTTCTCCCAAAGAAACCATGTTTTAACGTATCTCTGCAATCATTGGGTGGTTTCAGGTAAGTTCTAACTTTATCTTGTTAGGCTATCTTCTGAGGGCATCTGCTAGGCCAGTTGAATTCAAGGCAGAGAGGTCAGCAAAGAAGGTTATGGTGACTAGTTTGAGGGATTCCAAAGTGTAGTCTTGATAGATTTTCTTGAAGGACACAGGACTATCATGGGAGCTTGTTAGGAAAAAGTTTTAAGAAAATTGAAAACTTCATTAGTGAGGAAAAGGACAGGAAAGTTGTGCCAAGGAATTTTTTCCCAATCAATACAATATACTTCTTTATTCTTCAAAGACACAAGGACTCTTTCATGAGAGTTTCATTGGGAAGCCTTACCCCATATACACTATAGTCCTAATCTTCCTTCCTCAGACTTCTTTTTGGTCCTATATCTCAAAGAACATTTAAAAGAAACATGATTTATGTCCCTCTAGGATGCCAAAATGTCCATTTGACAGTGTAAACCAAAGAATGTAGAATTATTTGGGGAAAGAGTTAGAGAGATGTAAACACTGTCTCCAGATGTATATAGACTAAGATGGAGGATATATAGAAAAACACATTTTTATATTTTTGTTCAATAAAGGTGCTATAATGTTGTATCAATAATTTTTACTTACCCCTGTATATATGAGTACTGTATATAAGGGACTATTTCAAACACTTTAAATATATTAATTTATTTAATCCTCACAGATTCCTTAGAAAATAGGGGCATGAAGAGTGTGTTAGTCTGGGTTGACTAAAGAAACAAATTCATAGACACTAATATGTGTATAAGAAAGAGCTTTAACACGGAATCCAGGAACAGGAATGAGAGTAGCGATATCAGGAGGGTAGCAGGAAGGGGGAACCAATTGATCATAATGATCACCACATAACCATACACACCCCTCCAGGGGGACAAACAACAGAAACCGTGGGGGAGGGAGACAGTGGTGAGTGTAAGATATGAAAATAATAATAATTTATCAAGGGGTTAGGAGGGGGAGGGAAGAGAAGTTGATACCAAGGACTCAATAGAAAGTAAATGCCTAGAAAATAATGATGGCAACATATGTACAAATATGCTTAATACAATTGATATATAGATTGTTGTAAGAGGTGTAAGAGCCCCCAATAAAATGATCTTTTAATAATAAAAAAAGAAAGCTTCATATCAAAGAGTAATTGAATATTAAGAAAATATTGCAGCCCAGTCCAGATCAAGTCCATGAGTCCGATATGAGCCAATTTGTCTGTTACCAGTCTATAAATTCCTCTTCAGACTCACACAACACATGCAATGACGCCAAACGCAGGAAGGTCACAGGCCAGTGGGTGGAAAGTCTTGTGGATCCAGTGGCGGTGGAAGCATCTCAGCACTGGCGTGGGTCTCCACATGGCTCCGCCAGCTCCAGGGCTCTGGCTCCATCAGTGTAGCTCCGTATACCTTGTCAACAGGAATGTCACCCAAGGAGAGTGTAGTCCCACTTCAAGGGAGGAAAACAGGATTTCCCAGAATCCTCAGGAGAGGACTTTGCCCACACAGAGGCCGCATTGGCTATGACCTGATTGTCAGGCTAAACTCCACCCCTTTGCTCAAGTTGACAAGAGATTATGTAACTGCCACAAACAGGTTAAGTAACTTTCTTCAAGTCACAAGCTATTAAGTGAAACTGAGAATCAAAAAATCATAATCATGCAGCAGGTGTACATAGTCAAACACAAACACCTACAAAGTCAGATACAAGGCATCAACACGGAGGTACATGGGATTCATAGGAACATGATTATGAAAACATCAACCCAGAATGTTTTTCTTTCCTCTGATTTGCCATGTTACATATCATTTAACCAGCCAGTCTGCCGTGAGAATGACATTGATGGGGGAGGTATTCAGAAACAGATGATGCATTTGATCTCCGTATACCCTTTGGTTATCTTGTCACATCTACCCAAATACGTTTTTCCAAATGTCTATCTCTCCACCTGTGGCTTGCTGTGCTCCAGTCCTTCCATGACCCAACTCCTTTTTCCCTGCTGATAAGTACAAATCCCTCAGAACAATATCCTGTCTCTTTTTCCCTATATAGAGTGATTCAATGTATGATAAGCTCAGCATCTTGATTGATACCCTGGCCGAGGAGGAAACCGCTAGCCCTGTTGAGGAGATTCCAATAGCTTACCCAGACTATGACAAATCTGATGCAAAGTCCTTCTTCACTCAACAAGATCACATAGCCCGATGCAAGTTGGAGCTGTCCACAAAGGCCCAGAATCTTCAGAAATCCTTGAAACTCCTCATATTTCAAGTTGAACAAGGTAAGGTGCTCAGGGTTACCCAGTCTGATGCAGGAGAAAGGAAGGCTTGCAGTGAATGGTTCAGTCTCTCTCATTCTGGCTTTGCTATCTGACCCTACTACCAAAACTTCAGTAGCTTCTGCATTCATATAACACAGAAGCAATCCTCAGATTTTGGTTTGAAAAGTTTCAGTTCTGAGAAGTTACTCCTTTGACTCCTCCTCTTTCCCAGGCACTCAAATCTTATTACTCATTTAATTTTGGAATTAACAATCATCCTAAGCTATCACAGCTGCAAAGAGACCTGGTTTAAAGCACTATCAGTCTCCACCACCAGCCCGTGGAATTTGTTCCCACTCTTAGGAAACAAAAGTGTCCATCTATGCATATCTTGCACAGTATTAATCCGGCAAAAGGTCCTTTAGGGTGGTCATAGCAACTGTGTCACTCATTGCCATAGCCCACAACCGATGACAATCTTCCAACCTCTAACTCAGTGTGAAAACCCCCCCAACTTCTAATTTAAAATTTTGGTTACTACTTCTCTATACTGCTTCTTTGAAAACAGATCATAAGATAGTGTAAGACTTATCTGTTTTACCTGTGCTATTGAAATTGGGCAGAAACCCCATAGATCAATGTAGTCCCTTTAGTTGTCTTTTGATTTTAGCTATATTCCTTGACTTGGCATCTTTTATGGAATGAATTGTGTCACTCTAAAATATATCTGGTAAATTCTAAAACATATATGTATAGTTGGAGCTCTAGTGGTGCTGCAGGTTAGGCATTAGGCTGCTAAACCCAAGATCAGTAGTTCAAACCTACCAGCTGCTCTGCAACTGAAAGATGAGATTGTCTACTCCCATAAATATTTCCAGTTTAAGAAACTCTAAATAAGGTTGACATGAGTTAGAATAGACTTGATGGCGGTAGGTTTGGTTTAGGGGGAAATACTTAGGGTTATAATCCCGTTTTGGAATAAATTTTCTTTATAGTAATAATTCAATGTTAGGGTAGGATGTGTCTTAAATAATTCTTTCCTTTATGATCTAAAGAGTATATTGAGGCCTAGGTAGACATAATAACTAGACCCTATAAAGTCAAGACCCAAGAAATGAAGCGAATAGAGCACATGTAACAATCCTGGAACCCTGAGCTGAATGAAAAGGATGGAGTAGATAAAATACTGATTAGAAGAAAAAACTGAATGAAAGCAATGAACAAGGAGACATGTGAAGATTTAAATTAACAAATGGCCTGACACAGCATGGCCATGTTGAATTATTGCAAACAGGCATCAAATAACCCAAGACGACAATGCATCTACAAAAGTGACTAGCAACCAGACAGGTGTGATCTACTCCTTTACACTCCAAATCCTCCCAGTGGCCAGAAGTATAGCCACCTCTACCTGGTGGTCAGTAATATCTCCCTTCACCACCCTTACTCTGCCAAGTGGTATACTTGGCAACCTTCTACTCTACATCCATTGTAGCCCTGCTCTACTGCACTCCCCAGCAGCCTGAGGCATCTCTTCTAAAACAAGCAAAGTGTACTCACCACCACTGAAATTGGAGATGCCCTGTATGCCAGACAATCCCGTGTTTGGATGATGCACTTGTTCATGTAAAGCAGGCACCCAATACCTGCCATCTCAGAATACATTGTTATGCCCAGGACATATTATGAATGTACCATGTCCATGAATGGTTGTACACATTTCTGTGATGCAGATGCAAAAGTCTCATTATCCTCAAAGTGCACCACCATGGACCAAGCAACACAAACCCATCACTTTAATGTCCCCCTCGTTCCCCCCTCCCGTTATTTTCTTTCTTTCCATTTCACCTTTATTCCCCTCTCTAGTTTTTTTGGGGTTTTTTTGGCCCCATCTGGTAGGAGGTAGCAAGCAGTTCCACACTACACAGCTACATTCACCCCTTCTGTCACCAGACCTACTTGGCAAATGTTATCATGTGTTCCTGCACCACTTGATCAATGACAAATAACAGCTAGTACCAGCTGAACCCATCCTTAATTGTTCTACATGAACAGTAAATAGAGACCTGAGCACTTGTGTCACTACCAGGATACAGGTAGTGAGTGCCAAAGTATTGCCAAATTAACAAGCTAAGTATTATGTCTGCCCCACCTACCTGGATATATCAAAGCAAAATAAAGCAAAAATTCTGAATGAAACCCAACGATATACAGTGATCACATAAAGACAATAAAACTTTAATTTCTCAAAGACAACCAACAACCTCAGTTCACACAGAGAAACTAAATAAGGTGGTTCAAATAAGTGACCATAACACAGATCCAGAAAATCTTCCTAATAAGGAAATGGTATTTGGAAGCACCCACTAATAATTTTTTTTAATTAATCAATTTATTGGGGCTCATACAATTTATCACAATACATAGATCAATTGTGTAAAGCACATCTATACATTTGTTGCTCTCATCATTCCCAAAATTCTCTTGCCTCCTGGGTTCCCGGAATCCGCTCATCTTCCTTCCCCCCCACCTTCCCTTCCCCCTCCCCTTTCCCCCATGCACCCCTAATAATTTATAAATTATTCTTGTATCTTACATTACACTGTCCGGCGCCTCCCCTCACCCACCCCGCTGTGCCCGTCCCCCAGAGAGGAGGCCATACGCGGCTCCCTGTGATCCATTCCCCCTTGCTACCTCCCCCTTCCCTCCTGGTATCGCCACCGTCGCCCCCGGTCCCGAGAGGCTCCTCCGCCCTAGATTCCCTGCGCTTCCAACTCCCATCCGCACCGCTGTGTATCATCTGGTCTAACCAGGTCTGCAAGGCGAAACTGGGGTCCTGGTAGTTGGGGGGAGGAAGCGTTCAAGAACTAGAGGAAGGTTGTGAGTTTCATTATTGCTATACTGTACCCTAAGTAACTCATCTCCCCATTCCCTCTCTGCAAGGTATGTCCAGTTGTCTAGAGATGGGCATTGGGTCTCCATCGCGCGCCACCCTCATTGACAAGGATATGACTTTTCTCCCCGCCTTTGGTGTTTAAAGCCTAGTCCCTTTGGCCCTTCATGATCACACATGTTGGTGTGCTGCTTCCATGTGGGCTCCTCAACAAATTAAGAAAGGGGTCAAATAAAACTGTGATAAAACTTTGGAAGACTTCAGGAAAGCAATACAAGAACAACTTGTAAAACTAAATGGAAAATTAGAAAATATACAAAACCAGCAAAAGAAAATCTAAATGATTGATACTAAAATTTCAGAAATATATACTAAATAGGAAAGGTATAGGAGTGGGATTAAATCAATTAAAGACAAAATTAATGAGATTGAAGATAATCAGCAGCAGCAAAATGGCAGAGTAAATTCAAGTCCATTGATAATTTCACTTAATCTAATTGGATCAAATGTACCACTCAAGAGAGAGAGAGCAGGAAAAGGGATAAGAAAATATAACCCAATAAACTATTAAAAAAAGAGAAAACATAACCCTTTAAGATACTACCTACAAGAGACACACCTTAGACACAAAACAGAAAAAAGCTAAAACATTGAAGCATGGAAAAACATATCAAACAATTAGCATCCAAATAAATCTGGAGTATCAATATCAATAGAATTAAAAGCAAAAAAGAGCAAAATAGACGAGGATATTGTTTACTGATTAAAGGGTCAATCCGAGAGGACAACACATAATAAATGTTTATACGTCCAATGAAAGAGTCCTAAATACATAAATTAAATTTTAACAAAAGTGAAAAGGGAAATGTACCACAATAACATTGGAAAACTTTAATATATCACTTTTTGTGTGATTTATTTATTGTGAGTTAGGTGTTACTGGCCTTACTTCTTCCAGTTCAAATTGGTCCATCTTTTTAGCAGTCCACAGCCCTTTCAATAATTGTCTCCAGCACCACAATTCAAATGCATTGATTTTTCTTTGGTCTTCCTTAATCAATGTCCAACTTTCACATCCATATGATACAATGGAGAATACCATGACTTGGCTCAGGCACACCTTAGTCCTCAAAGTAACACCCTTGTTCTTCAAAACTCTAAAAATATCTTGTGCACCAGATTTACCTGATAAAATCTTTTGATCCCTGACCGCTGCTTCCATGAGCATTGATTGTGGATCCAGGTATGACAACTCATTGAAAACTTCAACTTTTCCTCCATTTATCATGATGTTACCTATTGGTGTAGTTTTCAACATTTTGTTCTTCCTTACATTGAGTTGTAATCCATACTGAAGGCTATAAACTTGATCTTCATCAGCAAGTGCTTCAATTCCTTTCACTTTCAGATAGCAAGATTGTGTCATCTGCACACAGCAGGTTGTGTATAATCCTTCCTCCAACCATGATGCCACAGTCTTCTTCATCTCATCCAGCTTCTCTGATGGTTTGCTCCGCATACAGATTGAACAAGTATGGTGAAAGGCTACAACCCTAAGGCACACCTTTCTGATTTTGAACCATGCAGTATTCTCTTGTTCTATTCACACAACTCCCTCTTCATTCGTGTGTAAGTACCGAATGAGCACAATAAAATATTTTGGAATTCCCATTCTTCACAGTTTATTGTGGTCCACACAGTCTTTTCATAGTCAAACATAAGTAAACATCTTTCTGGGATTCTCTGCTTTGAGCCAAGATCCATCTGACATCAGCAATGCTCTCCCTTGTTCCACATCCTCCTCTGAATACAGCCTGAACCTCTAGCAGCTCCCTGTCAATGTACTGCTGCAACCATTGTTGGATGATCTTAAGCAAAATTTTACTTGCATATGATATCAATGATATTCTATAGTTTAAGCATTCTGTTGGCTCACTTTTCTTTGGAATGGACACAAATATGGATTTTTTTT